GCAAAAAATAGTATCATTCAAATATAAAAAATAGTAATATTCAAAAAAAAAATAGTAACATTGAATATTAATTTTTAGAAAAATAATAGTAGTAATATGGTCAACAAAAATAGTAACATGCTAAAAAATAATAGTACATGAACAGTAACATAATAAAAAACTTAGTAACATGAATTTGAATTTTACTATTCAAATTCATAGTAACTTTTTTTTTTGTATTTAAATGTTAATATTTTTTTATATATATATATATATCTATAATATAAAACACAGCGGGCTTCAACAAGTCTATCAGATGACCACAATTCATTTCATCTAACAGTCATAAACATCTCTCAAAACCATTCATTTAAATGATCCAGATTTCATTTACTTGGATCTAACGACTCACAATTCATCGCAACAAAAAAATTATCCCGCCCAAAGCTTAAATCACGTCTCCCAAGTTTGTCAGACGTTACACCAGCCTTTCTCTCTCACACTCTTGCGACTTCTCTCTTTGCCATGGCTCAGCCACCACCGGTGAACACACCAGCGAAGACGAAACACGCAGGTTTTGGACCTTTATCTGACTTCCACGCTCCGACAATCAGTAGAACTCCTTTTTCGCCAAAGCACAACATTGAAGGAGTGAGCGATGAGATGAACACGATCGAGTCTCAGAACTCGGATCACGCCCCTGCTCAAAGACGGGTTCAGCAACTTGATCATGTATTGTATTTATTATATTAATTTTAGAATCTAATTCGTTATTTCTTCATGTAATTTGCTTTATATGGATTGATAGGTAGATGCCTCCTACTGGGATCAGAACAGAGGAGGTAAGTGATCTACTGCTATGAAGATTAATATATATACCACTCTACAGGCTAACGTTACCCATCCCCCATCTCTCTTTCTCTCTCACACAAAACACACACATGCCCTTTCTCCTCTCTCTCCCTTTTTCCTATCTCTCTCCAATCAGAATGCCTGTAGTCACCAGAGGCGACCCAGCGATTGGAGAACACTGAGGTAGTTATATGTTCTCTGTATATCAATTTGAATATAAATTGCATATGTTTATATATGTATATATCTATCTATATGGGAGTCTATATAACAACGATGATGAGCCTTTACAGACCTGTAATGATTTGCGAAAATGATCGCAATTCTTTAAGAACATCTAAGGGACTGAGTTGATTTAGATCTGTTGTTGATACTTGAATGATAATTCAATTTCAGATTATTTTTTTTGGTATTTAGAATCAAGTTATATATTCTATTATTTATTTCAGTTGCTTTTATATTCATGACTTTACTTGATTTTATTTAGAATCGAGTTATCGCACTATCGCCCAAATCCACGTATCCACTCTCTGCCTCCCTCTTTGTCTCTCCCCCTCTCTATCTTCATCTCTTTCTCCCTCTCTCTGTACACAACACATCACACGCACACAGCACACCCATAGGCATAGCACACTAGACGCATTAAATTTTGGGGTTTGGTATTTGTGGTTCCAATTTGGATTACACATATTGATTGTGTTTATGTTTTCTATTTATCTGCTTGGTTATGGGTTACACAGTGAATGTGCAAGATTGGGTAATGGTTACACATATCTACTTGGTTTTTTTGGTGATGTTCTTGCTAAATTTGCTGATGATTTTTCTTACTACGATGAATGAGTTTTATGGGTAATTTTCATTGTTGAGTAGTTGTTGTGTTGATTTTTCTTGGCATTGAAATTGTCTTCTAGGGTCGATTTCTAGAAGTATTTTGTATGTGTTGTCTGGTGTTAGTGAGCATAGGATGTGTTTGATGAAATGCTCCAATGGTTAACCTCCATTATAGATGCTTTGCCTTTTTTCTTCGTTTCTACTGTGTAAACTTCGTGTTTAAGGAAATGGCCATACAATATGCACTTTAGTTGGTTGCACTAATTCACCTAAAACAATTTTAGGGGGTTTTGCCGTTTTGGGTGAGGGAGCATTTGCCTAGCCCAATTTGGGTTTGGGCTTCAAGTGCTTGATAAAATGCATTGAAACAATTATTTTAATGTATAGAAATAGAGACTGCATCATGAGACAAATTTATGGTCCATCTAAGTTCCTTTTAGGCATTTTAGTATTTTTGTCATAATCTATTCACACGTTATGAATTGTAAATTGCACTATAGCGAAATGAATAGACTTGAAATTCCTATATGATGCATATATTAGTATTTTCCTTACTTTATGCAATTAAAAATCAATTGATAATTTGGGTGTTTTGTAGCTTTTCAATTTCGGGTGGGATTTTTTTTTAAAAAAAATTTCTTGCAATTTAGTAATTAATTTTTTATTTTCCCAATTAGTTGCGGGAAATTTATTTTTATGAAAAGATCCAATTTTAACTTTGACATCGACCATGGAATCAAGAAAAAATCGGTGATGTGCCGCAACCTGTCATTGTTTAGAGCGATGGGTGGTCTCTATTGGTTGCCGAAAAGTATGCATTTAACCTTCTTTATAATTAGGGTTCAATGAGTAATTAGTTTTATAGGTATTATTTTGTTAATTTTTTTTGATTAGTTGAATATGGGTTGTGGTTTGATTACATCTTTCAAGTTTCAATTGCTTCTTAAGATAGTGAAATGGTCGGAGTTGGGTTTGTTGGGTTTGTTGAATTTGAATAATTTGTTTACTTGAAATTTAATGATTGGCTTAATGTTAATTAATGGATGGATGGTTGTTTCATGCTAAAGCTAATTGTAATGGATTGATTATGGAATTGGCGCAAATAACTCCGCTGACAAGTTGTTTGAGCAAAATTTAGTGGAAGATTGAAAGATGATGTTTCATGATCTTTGCTGCCATCATAGTTTTTAATGATTCATTATGCAAGTGGAAGATTGAAAGGTGATGTTATGAGATTATGGGGGCCTCAATTGTGCTTTGTTTTTGCATCAAGAAAGGACTGGAAGATGGTGAACGATTGGCTACACAGTGGTGCTATAGGTAAGGATCCATGGAAGCCTTTTTCTCATTTAGGTGATATTGATTTTAATAATTGACAATTATTGTATGTATTGATGCATGTTTTTATCAATTTCGTTTCATAAAAGAAGGATGGAAATGTGATGAATGAATACAAGCTTTAAGATGGACCTATATAATCTTGAGTGACAACCAATTTTTTTTTATTTGTTTCTTAACACAAATGATTCTGTTTGTAGTATTAATTGCCTATGGAATTTGTTTAATAATATATGTGCACTGGAATTTGATTTCTTTTTTCCTTTTCTTTTTGTCTGGTTTGTCTCCAGTGGATGTGACTAATTCATTGTATTTCATTTCTTCATGTAGATTTAGTCACACAAAGTTGTAGTTGCTTTGATTGCTTGATCACTTAATGGTTGGACTGTAATTTCTTTTCATAACTAAGGAATCTTATATGGTCAATTAGGGAGTCGTATTTTTGGAGATGTCTTTTTTGAAATTATTTGAAAATTAGTAATCCCAGATTGATTTAAACTTATCTACAATTTGACCAAAACTCGAATGGAGTTAACTTATTTTAATGCACCCTTATTATTTTTCATTGGTGATATTTTTGCATTGCATGGTGCCTTTAGGCACAGGTATTAGCTTGACAAATTGTTATGTTGTGTTTGTTAGTAAATTATTATTTAGAGGAAGGATTGTGACATGAATAGTTAATATTATGATGCTGATTTGAGTATAATTATAAGATATATAACCTTTGTATACAGGTTTAGATTTTTTGGGCTACTATTTTTTGATGAAATTCTGTCAATTTTTTTTAAAAAATAGAGAAGACTAGATTGATGCATGTCTATGTTCAGTGTTTAATTGTTTCGTGTTCAAGAATAATGTTTTTTTTTTTAATTACACAGATTCTGCAGGCACGGATTATGAGGGTAGTTTAGATTTTCAGCTTAGTACGCGTCCTAGTTCAGTGCTTGATTTGTTTTTGAATCACACTGTGCCTTCAGGCACAGGCTATCCCTAGTATATATATATGAGAGAGAAAAAATTCACTTCTTTTTAAGGAAGGGTATTTTTGAGATAAAAAAAAATGGACTTAAGTTATTAAATATAATTTTAAATATGAACTTCGCTCTTTATAAGTTTTCTTACAGGACTTATCTCCAAACAAGTACATTTAGGGGGATTCATTTCTAATTTTCACTTTTTCTTTTATTTTTCCATACAGTTGGGCTGGCCCGGGCTACTATAGAAGCCTTGATGTCTTCTATGAAGGCAGCGATTTCCAAGGAGAACGTCTTCTCTTGTGCATAGCAGAAAGAGTGATTCGTTGTCGCTTTAGATTTCGATTTTGGCTCGATGAAATTGTCAAGAAAGAGTCAAGAGACAAGCTTCGCGAACTACAGCGGCTTCGGTGTAAAGGCTGGCTCGACACTGCACATTTGGTTGATTGTCTGGACATAACATGTACACATATAATTAAATTAATTTATGGTGCTTAGCTCTTTTTTTTTTTACGCCACTCATGGTATTAACAGACTTTTATTGTAGAATAACAAAAGAGCAATGCTACTTTAAAAAAACAAGAGCAATAAAAGAGCATTTTCTATTCCCATGGCATCATTGGTACATAAGTCTCTACTGTGTGATTAACTTACAAAGTTGCAAGAGCGGGCCAGTGACACATTAAGTAATTATTGCACATTAAAAAAAATTCAAAAAATCCTTTAAATCTTGGTGGCACCTTTTACAGCCTAGAGCTTTTGGCTTTTGGCTTATTACCTATTGTCTTCGTAAAGAATCTTTTCTTCGTTAGAGCCACCAATATTTACTCCGCATGTGTGTCTCTTTTTTTGGGGGTGGGTTGAAAGAGAGATTCACACTCCTTGTTAGTGAACTTTATGCTAAGCATTAAACAGAACTTGTTATTTCATATTGTTCTTTAGTCTCTATCTTTGGGCAAATTCAAAAACATTAAGGCAAACATGTGAACAAGCTTTTTAGAGAGAGAGAGAGAGTTCTCTTCTTCAAACTAGAACTGCCTTGAGTCCCTTCTGAGAGCATCTACACCTCAGAATGACATAAGAAATGAACCTGTAAACCAAAATAAAACAGACCATGACGACCACATTCCTCCATCTACTTTCCTCTCCATACCCTACTTCTTTAAGTACATCTTCACCCCTCACCACACATGCTCCCAACATGTACTCCAAGCACTTCCCAGAACCAGAAAACTCATTAATCAAAAACCCTTCAAATGGATACTTAAACAAAGAAATGTAGTGCATGAAAACCCAATAACTTGGCATCCCATGCTTGGATATGAAGTAGCCGGAGAACAGAAAGAATGAACCCATCACGCCGGAGATCACCGAGTTTCCGACGATGAAATTAGGCACTAAAGCACTGATACACACCACCACCGAGTTTGCTGTGTAGAGAATTAACCAAATTAACAGCAAGAAGTGAAGGAAAGCCGAAAAAGTCCGATTTAGTCCCACCAGCCAATACAATGGCACTGTGAATAACACTGCAAGGATGAGTAGAAATGGCAAGTAAACAAGACCATTGGCTATGGCATATGATGAAACCCTATAGCTTCCACAAGAGGTCTCTTTCATTAGTATTTCTCTCTCCTGCAGGAATATTGGTAGAGCCTCCAATGTGCTTGATAGCAAAAAAGTCAAAATGAATGCAAATAGGCCTACCCTCTCTCCCGCACCAACTAAATCATCTTTCAGATGGTAAAAGATTGAGCCTAAAACAAGCCCGGCCATGAACATTTGAAGTGTCCTACATGCAAATAGCTCCTTTGTTCGATATATGTTTTTCCAGAACCTAAGAGTGAGAATCATTGTTTCCCTCACCCTAGAATTTGCAAACCCACTTGAAAAATCAAGTTCAACATCAATAGACTCCGCATCAATCACCTTAGACTGTTGAAAAAGTTGTTGTAAAGTGAAATTACCATTTCTATTCTCACCTTCATCACCCACCCTTTTAAGTTCTGTTGTTGATGGCAATTGTGGCACCATCTTTTGGTGAATTTGCTTTGATAATTGGTGCTGCTGAATTGTTTCGATTGATTCAATTGCGAATTCAACAAGATTAGTATGAAGAGGAAGCTGCAAACCCATCAGCCTCAAATGGGTACCAAGCTGATCAACAGTTCCATGGTGCAAAACTGACCCGTTAGCCATCAAAAGAATGGAATTGAACAGCTTCACAATTCTGAATCCTGGCTGGTGGATACTGAGAATTATGGTTTGTCCCTTTGTCTCAGCCATTGTTTTTAGCATATCTATGATCTGAAGAGCCGAAGAACTATCAAGACCCGAAGTGGGTTCATCGAGAATCAGCACTTTCGGATCATGCACCACCTCAACTCCGATTGAAACTCGCCGTCTCTCTCCGCCGGAGATTCCCCGGACTCTATCGTCACCGACCCGAGCTTGAGCGACATGAGATAATCCAAGTTCTTGGATCAATAACTTCACCTTTGAGCTCAGTTGTGATTCAGGGAGTCTTAGTCGGAGCTTTGCACTGAACATTAAGGTTTCGTGGACAGTGAGTAGTGGAAATAGTGTGTCTTTTTGAGTAACATAACCTGATATCTTCTTGAACTGAGCTTTGTCGACTGGTTTGTGATCGACAAAAATGGAGCCTCTTTGGGGTGTAAGTTTTCCAGCGAGGATTTCAAGCAGCGACGACTTTCCGGCGCCGCTTGGGCCGACAATGGCAAGGATTTCCCATGGTTTTGCTCGGCAATTCACGTCCTTTAGAACATGGCGACGACCGTCGGGTGGTTGTTCTATATCTTGAACACCACCTTGGTGGTGATCTTTGGTGAAGATTTTCAAAGGGTGTTCTCTTTTGTGTTTGTGAATTGTGTAGTTAATGCCTATTGCTTCAATCTCACAGCCTTGTTTCTCCATTGAAGCAGCAGCTCTCAATGTCTAACTGTCTTTCTTTTGTGCATATCAAGCAAAAGCAAACAAAAGAGTGCGGGCTGAGAAATATGATTCCACTAATTTTATGCTTATATAGACACCAATAATCTTATTTTAATTTAATTTATTGATATAATTTATTAGTTTAATCAATCATAATTAATAGATTGATCGTAAGCCTCAATAAATATTGAGATTCTCTGTCCATTTAATGATTATAAATAATTAAGTAAATAAATTAAGTCATGAAATTAGATTTGAAAATAAATATTATTTCATACTCTTAAAGTTTTCACATAATTTCAATTTGAGTCCTGAACTATCAAATAAGTTCATGAGGGAAAAACAAAAGTTAACAAAAGAGTATGCGATGAGAAGTGTGCTGGGATTAATTTTAAGCCACGAGAAGTAATTAAAGTTTTTATGTACAATTTAATTTTTATTGTATTAATTTGATCTCTAAAAAATTTAATTTATGCTATTTTGATTCCTAATCAAATAACCCGTCAAGTTTTTGCTCAAGTGTTTTAGCTTGCCTCTCTAAATTGCATCTATTGATTTATCTACAGTAGATTAGAGTTCTTTAATTGCATATGGTGGTTCAACTTTTGTGTATTTATATTCAAATTACATGATTTATTTATGATCCGGGTACATAATGTGATAATTTTTTTTTAGTTTAATAGTTAAGAGTGTTTAAGTTTATTTATACGCACTTCGATTAATCTCCTCTTTAATCCGATTAAAAATAAGTTATATCTACTGGAACTCCGAATAACTCCTTCATGATTTAACTATAACTCTAAGAAATTATCAAAATTTAAACTTAAAACATCTAGATTTAATAAGGTGACATGATAAGTTATAATTATTAAATTAATAATAAATTTCATTGTCAATCTCCTCTTTAAATATGTGGAGGAGAGGATGAGAGAAGATTTGATTATAGTGGCTGAGTTTTAGTACGGATAAGTGAATGTCCACAAGGATAATGATGGGTTTGAATGTTACTAATTAATGCCATTCAAATTTCATTTTCTCTAAATTTTCGTGGCTGAGCTTTTTTTTCCCTCTTTTTTATTTTATGGAATTTCTCTTTTGTCTATATGTGATATGTAACACCCGTGACAAATGTATGTCACCCTCTTCTTGTCAATGAGAGGGAGGGGCCCACTAGGACCCTCTTCCCCAAGTATTGAAGAGCTCAATGCCACCCATTTCTTGGCACCTTTCTCTACAGAAGTCGCCCGTGAACTTCTTTTTCTCATTTCTGTCTCACACCTTCGTTCATTAATTAGGATAGGATCATTTGCACGGGAAGTCATCGGAGAATAAAATTTGTCTCATTTTAATCTCTAATGTTTTAATTGTATCATTTTAATCTTTGAATTATTAAATATATTTTTATGTGGTCCTTTAAATAGACAGCGTTTAAATTATTAATAATTTTTCAATCATAAATTTGTCACGAGATACCAATAAATGAACAAAAAAAAAAATTTAAATAACTCTTGACTAAATTTTTACTTAAATTTTGATTAAATAGCTACCTATATTACATAGTTTTGATCATAAAATTTTGGTCAAAAGTTACCCTTGTTATATATATATTTTCAAGAGCAATCTAAATTTTGTTTAAGGGCTATAAAAATTTTTTTTTTTCCACATTTACGTATTACGTGACAAGTTTATAATAAAAAATCATTTAAAATCTGAACGTTGTCTCCTTGAAGGAAGAAATAGAAACATATTCAATACTTCATAGACCAAAATAATGTAATTAAAATATTATGAACTAAAATGAGATAAATCCAATACTTTGGAGACTTATAATACAATTAACCCATTAGGACATGAATCATTGTCAATCTTACACATCCCTTCTTGATTAAAAAGATAGTTTTTATTCTATTATGTAATGATTAAAATATTAAAATTTAAATAAATTATTGTGATTAAAATAATATTAAATTATTAAGTCGTATTATAAACCGTCAAATTTTAAACGATCAAAGTTATTTTTTTATTTTTTCAAATAAGGAGTTTAAACAGTTCAAACAGGATGTCATGTTTTACTATTTACTTTCTTTCTCATATTTCTCTTCTGCAAAAAAGGTGCCAGTGGACTGCACTCAAGCAGAAACGAAAGATCAAAATACAGATATAAGACATTGCGATGAATCATTTTTGCTTCTCTAAATAGACATTACAACCAAACAGCTGCGGAGTTATATACGGTACCCAAAAAAAAAAAAATGGAAGATGCCATACTTGCTAAAAGAAATTATCAAATCTTTTCAATCAAATGACGTGACATAATTTTTTTTATTAAATATTAATGAGATCCACTTATCTGATAGTAAAAAATTATACATCATTTGCGATAAAGATTTAGTAAAAACAAATATTGGCAAACATAACATTACCCAAAACAAAATTAGTACCGTACTGATATGTAATACATTTATGAGTATTTTTATCATTATTAGAAGTGTTTTTATTACTGTTAAGGCCTGTTTATTTGGAGTATTAGATTTGAGTGGTATTAAAAATTATTTTCATTCCACTTCTATGTAATGGTATATACTATAATGGATCTTAAATTTTTATCTCATGTTTATTTGTTCAACAAGTATTATAATGGGTCCTATAAACAACCATTTATTCTATCACATCTTATATAACAAATATATCATTTTACTCTTAACATCACTCATTCATTAACATCATCCATTCCATTCAAAATAATTTTAAAAATCAGTGACACTATACGCTTAAACATAATATAAGGAACAAATTTTAAATAATATTTTTTAAAAAATATTTTTAAAAACCGTACACTTAAACATAATACAAAAAAAAATTCAAAATAATTTTTAACAAAAAAACTGTTAACACCGTACACTTAAATATAATATAAGGAAAAAATTTAAAATAATTTAAAAAATAAATAAATAAAAAAAAAACCATTAACAAGGTAAGCTTAAACATAATAAAAAAAAAATTTTAAAATTTTTTTTTAAAAAAACCGTTAATACTGTACGCTTAAATATAATAAAAGAAAATAACTTTTTTTAAAAAAAATAAAAAACAATTGTTAACACTGTACACTTAAACATAATATAAGAAAAAAAATTTAAAATAATTTTTTAAAAAAATTTAAAAAAAACCGTTGACCTAGTACCTTTAAATATAATATAAAAAAATTCAAAATAAATTTGTTATATGTGAACTCTTCACATAGGAGACATTTGTGTCATTTTATTCTCTTATATCACCATTTCATTTGTACTAAGAATATAATACCACCGGATAGGTGGTATTGCTTAGCACCGTATACAAAGTATAAAAATTACTGTTTACACCGAGTCAGTACTATGACCCGAAAAATAATACTAAATAAAAATTGTCAAATAAACAAGGTATAAAATAGACCCTCACGTATTATTTTCCTTATACCATCCATGTCTCTCAAACAAACAGACCCTTGTAATATTAAAGAAAAGTAAACACCCACAATAGTGGTGAATTCATCCACAAACAAATGTTCAAAAAGTAAATCGACAAACAAAAAGTAAATGCGATGTATCTAGGTTATAGAAGATTAGTATTATCTTAATATATTTTTTAATGGTAATATGATTGAGTGATTCAAAAACTTTTTACACATCCTGAAATTTGGAAGTTTGAGTTATTCTATGCCTAGCACATTATCGAGATTTACTAAGTATTTAGCCATAATTGATTTAATTATTCGAGCGTTCAAGCTAATGTGCTGATATGTTCAATATATTAGTGTTCAATGAATTATCATATTAATTTTTGTGTCGTTCATTTGCTCTTTGACATCGTACGTTTTGTTTTAAATTAGTTATTGAACTTTTTCCTTGCTCACCCCCAATTGCCCTCTTAGTTGTAGGTGGAACTTGGATCTAAATTTGGTGGCCGATAGAGACATTCATGCTTTTTAAGTTTTAAAATGGTAGAAGTGTTATTGAGTGATAATCATATTAAAAATAATAAAATGATCGATCAAAGTTTTCATGTTAAAATATTTTTATTAAAATACAAAAGGACATAATGAGAATTTCAAAACTTAAATCTAAAAGAACACTGACAAGCCCATATTCAGATCAGGTTTGAATTCAGTTCATGGGTTGAGCCTAAATCATCAAAGAACAGGTTAGACTTAACTCATGACTTCAGTTCAGTCCAAAGTTTAAGAGTTCAAGAAGATTTAACATACATGGAAGAACAATTATCAGGATATCTATGACTTCAAGATAAGGTCTATCCCCAATTATACCTCTCCTCCCCTATAGATTAGTAGCTTGTCATTCACGTCACCGCCTCAACTAGGGTTTTATGTGCTTATAAATTGTAAACCCCCTTACACATGGGGGCAGAACACACACACTTCACCTTTAATGTACTCTTGCTCTTTTTTCTTTCTCTCCCCTACTATTTTTACTCTTTCATTAATAGAGTTCTCTCGTCACCATTGTCGTTTTTAGTGATTTGGTTACCCAAACTCAATCACCTAATATTTGTCTCTTGTTATTAATTGTTTTACATCACACACTCGACTGATTTAATCTTGAATAAATTTACTTTTGTACATCATCAATACATGATGACCTTTCTAATATTATTAAGAACAAAATGAATAATCAAAAGTTTTTTATGTTAAAATATTTTTTTTTCTTAAGTTGGTTAAGATACCTTTAGTAGAAGTAGAAGTATATATGTAAAAATTTTAATTCCTCTGATTTTCAAACTTTAATACATTGTGTCAAAATTTTTGACTTATTTTACAATCAAGTGTTATTTATTTGAAGGATGAATTTCATTTTAAACCCTTTAAATATTAAGTTTCTCACTTTGTATTTTTAAAGATTAAATTTTTTATATTATACACTCAATATATAAAAAATGTTGCAATATAACCATTATGTTAGTTTTTTTATGAGTGTCAATGAGTTGAT